AAGCGCATCTATGCTTAAGAGAGCAAAACTACCTTTAGCAGACAGCTCAGGTCAGCACCAGAAAGTGTCAGCTGTCAGCTATAACTCAAACCACAGATTTTTCCCAGGTGATGATACTGCTTTCATCAATGATTTTACAAAGCCTAACAGATAATTTTAACCTGGTATTAATTCAGTGATTTCCCTCTAGCCTATGTTTTCCAAATGTTCATTAGTTATCAAAAATTATGCAGTCTGTATCTTCAGCCCGCTTTCAGCTAAGAAGAGTGATTCTGAATAAACACTGCAAATGCTACATACACATGTTAATATTTAATGTGGCTTTGGTCACATGTGTTTCCAATGAGACATTTTGATGTATAGTTATTGTACCATGTATTTAAAAATGGATCTTCTCCAAGAAATAATTCACATAAGCTTAAAATAAATATTGACCTTTGTATCAGGTTTCCATTATAAGACTACTAAACCAGGCTTGGTGGAAGGTTCACAGAGGGTTGACAGAGCTTCGTCAGCTCTGCTTTATTAGGTCTTTTCCATGCCGGAGTGTTTCTGGGTGTGGCTGATGGGATTTCCTGCCTTTTTGTCCCATGAAGGTAGCACAGAGGGTCCCAGTGCAAGGAAATAGCTCCCATTTCACTCCCGTATAAGGTTTTTCGGTAGGGTAAGAGATCTGGCTGTGCAGACCGCTGCCAGGGAAAGGGTCCTTAGCATTGTAATTCTTTTCAGTGGATCACATAAGTCTACACTAATTACATTCCAAATTTAGAAAAACTCACAATTTTTTGGTTAGTAATATCTATTAGATGCTTGAGTTTCAGATCTCTCTGGGCACTTCTTATTTCAGCAGAAAACTTGTACTGGAACAAACTAGCTGTACCATGTGTTCTTATATCTAGCTCCTGTATGCAGAGTGAATTTGGTTACTGTAGATTATGATAGAAAATCCTGTGCATAGAGTAATAATTGAAGGGAGATTTCTTGACCCTATGCAATTCTTGCAGACTGTGTAAAAAGAAATAAGGTTTTGTCAGAATAAATCAGATGATAGTGAATAAGCAAACTCTTTCCATCTGTAAATGCAAAGATGGTGTTAGAAAAGTTTGTGAAAGCAGGTTATAGGAACTGAATTTAGATGGATTTTGTTTGGTTGGTTCTTAAATCCTTGAAGATTCAGTTGTAGTTGTATTCTTTTGTTTTCCAAGAAAAACAGTATGGGGAATTATTGAAATACAGTAGATGTTTTCCTGGGGAATTTCAGAACCCCATAAACGACAAAGCCTGTCCTTGGGGAATTTCCAGCATTTCCGAGCTGAGTAGGTTACGTAGCTCTGGTCTACATATCCACATTTTTGGATGCTTTGTCAATCTGACCCTTTTTACATCATCTGATAACGCCTCAGCCCATACAAAATGCAATCAGTATTGAGATCTTCCAGGCCAAATTAGGAATTACGGAATGTTAGTTTGGCAATCTCTGTATTTCTTAATTGACAGAGTGAGAAAAGGATGGATAAGAGTATCTTTACGGTTTTATGTCCCCTTGTTTTGGTCCTGGCTGCCTGCTTTGTACAGCAAGCCCCAGGTTTGTCCCTGCTGAGCTGTGTGCAGGGCATGCTTGGCTGCAGCCCCTCCATCACCCAACATACACCCTGCTGTACCAGGGTCTCACACAGGCGCACCTGGTCAGGGAGTTGCCAGGGGAGCAACAGACAGATTTTACAATCATTTTCCATCCCTGTCTATTCCTTACGCTGGAAGAACAGCTAGGAACAAGAATATAAATCAAAGGGCAAGGCTGCTCCGCATAATTCAGGCTATTTCATTTCACATAGACGTTTGGTATAATGCACCTTTTCAGTTCTCGGTTCATTTTCTCTGCCCGTTTGTCACATGGCCAACAACAGGACAAAGCTGCACACCCTTTCGGTGCGTACAGAAGGCAGTCTGGCGCCTGGGAAGGGTATTTCCTACATTGCACACTCCCAAACTGTGCACTGCACATCTGGCCTAACCTGCTGGTGTATGGTAATGCATGTCCGTGGCCAAGGAGCTGCAGAATTCCCCCATAGGAAATGAACAACTGTGTCTTTTATTTTTTTCCCAGTAGGAGCCCTTACTTTTATTATTGTTATTATTTTATTACAGTTATTGTTCCCTGTCTCAATCTTGTCTACATGCATAGATGTGGCCTGTCTATGGAGGAAACAGATTTCAGTCATCGTGATCAAGAGCATAGGAAATGCTTCCCATGGCCCAGTGCCACGCTCTGATGTTTGCATTTCTTTTATTGCGTGAATTACGTAGGGCTTTGAGTTCCCTACCAAAACTGGGCTCCTGTCACACAGTCACCTCCATGGGGAAAACAGTCATTTTCCGCAAAGGCCCGCAGCGCAATTAGACGAGATTGATAAGCGAGGGATACAGAAACAAAGGCAAAGCGGAGGGAAGTGACTCACCTGTGGGCTATCAGCTACGAATACAGAAAGGCTGGTGGTAGTCACAAGCGGTCAGTGACACAGCCACGCTGTGACACAGCTTGTCCCTTGTCACAGGATCTCAGACCCATGTGGAACAATGCCCGTAAGGCTTCAAGAGCAAAAGGGCCCTCATCCTTTGGATAAAACCATGCCTACAAATTCAGACGTCCCTACACATTGCCTCGTCCCCATACATTGCCTTTATTTACTCACTGGTAGCACGTTGAGGGCTTAACTTGGACTTTCATGGTTTATATGCTTTTGGTGCTCTGCACAGAAGTGACTTTATCCCTGGGACAAAGCAGCGCTTTCCCTCATGACTGTCAGCACCCGGCATAAACCATCCCTGCCCAAATGAAGGCCTGAGCCAAGAGACACTTTATCTTGTGCGCAAATACAGATTTGACATTTTTTCCAGCCCTGCTCAGGTCACTAATTAAAAGCCTAGGAAGTGAGCACACATGAAATCATTCCTTCCGTACAGGCAGACAGATGGAGAGAAATTCCAGCCCGTTTCCACTCTTTTGTCTTCAGGGCATTTTTGGAATTTCCTTCAGGAAGTGAGGTTGTGACCCAGAGCCTTCCTCGGTGAGTAGGCTTTCGTTTCCCACAGTAAACCTTGCACGGCGATGACATACAGTACGAGAAGGTGAGGTTTATCTTCACACTCCAACTGCATCCTGTACGAGCTCGGTGGAACTTTAAAGTAATACCAAGAGGGAATGGCCACAAGAGAGGAAATGGAAGTCAAGCCTTTGGAAGAAGTAACACAGTACCTATTCAGTTGCACTGCCGTGGTCTTTGCTGGTGGACCCAACGGAGCTGCAGCGCTTACATAGCTGAGGCCACCATTCTATGTTTCATAAATTTCCTTGCTGTTTGCAATAAGCTAAGAATTAGACTTACGAATTACATTAGTGATACAAGTGAATTATTTCACTTATTCTACTCTAGGCAATCATGGCAAAACTGGCAGGCATCTGGTTTTTCTTCTGTTTGTACTTCATTAGCTGTTGGAGAAAAATCGTTACTGTAGAGATTCTTTTAATAGCGTTTCATCGATACAGCATGTGCTGATGAAAAATTATATTCTATTTTTCATTTCGTATTTTACATGATCCTGTAAGTGGCATTATGCATCTTATGTCCCTGCAGAATTGGCTTAATCCCAGCACGTACTGAAATCAAGGAATTCTTTCACTGACTTCTGTCAACAAGAAACCACACCTGGCATGAACCCCCCACATTGCACAAAACTACTAGTAATCTGATAACAGAATATTTAAAAAAATCAGTTTATTAATGTTTAGAAGTCAATAAAGCTATGTGCAAATTGAAAAATAACAGTCAGAAACATTTTAAATACTATTTTTTTAAACCAGAAAAAAACGCATCAGTTTAATTGCACTGGAAATTTTACTACAAAGGCAATAAATTTTCTTTAAAAAATACCACTTCTAGGAATTGCCAATAACTGTAAATCAGTCAATAGCTCTTGGCTAGCCCAGATATACCACTTTAGTTATAGTAATACTCTAGGTGCATGAAGACACCTGCATCTTACTAACTTATTTACATTGTACACATTCAACCCCATTAGCACAGGTTAGAAAAATAGAGGAGTAAAAATGATGCTGTAAAACAAATACATTCAATTTAATGACAGGTACTTCTTCCATGAACTGATAAAATACAGACATCTTTGCTGAAATTATAGACATTAATAAAATGTGCCAGAATGTATTGCGTTTTGTTATGGAAGTGCATTTATCTATAGTTATTTCACTTCAACTTTCCTTTTATTTTTCTGAAACTCAAGATACTATCTTCAGATTTTCCGACTGACCTCTGGAAAGACTATGGACCTGACACTGAAATTCCCTTTCAGTTTTTCTTCTCTTCTTACTTCGGCAAAAATCCTGCTGCTGTCAATAGTATCTTGTACTATTAGATTTACCTTCGGTCATCTTAAAGAGAAATGACCTTTAGTTCTACCTTGCATTTGTCATGATAATACAGTTTATTTAATGCTATAGAATAACAAGGCAACCAACGTATGGGGCCAAATGCTGCTCTGAGCTACTCGATAAAATCTGACGCAACCAACGGAATGGTACAGGTGAAAGTAACTGCAGAGTCTGGCTCGTGGACTTCAAATGTAACATGGACCGACAGCAAAAATTCACAGCTATGATCTTGCTAAATATAACCCCAACAGCTTTGGACTCTGCAAATAAAACCTTACGATGTAACTAAAAACTAAAAACCAAATTATGGTTGTGCACTGTCTAAGTTATATTTGTGTGATCTCTTTCCGTGTTATGTGCTAAACAAACGTTTCTGACCTGCTATACCAGAGCCACCGCTAAACTCAGTACAGAAAGATCTTTGTGTCAGTGGTTTGCTGCAAGTAAAGGAGAAATAACTTCACGTTCTTCTCACAGGAAAAATAAAAAAAGAGATTCATTCTCCCTCTCCCTCCTCCCCCTCTCTCTTTCTCTCACACACCAGGCATCATTTCACCAAGGCATCAGTCTTTCAGAGTTACTAAGGAGATTTCAGGATATGAATGGGCCTGACAACCCTGAGCTGCCTCAGTGCAAAGACAAAACATGCTCCAGGGAAAAAGATTTTCAAGCCAGAACAGTCTGTCCCATTTCTTGAACTCCAGCCTCGCAAGTGCACCGTTTGCCTCATTAGAACTAATGCTACTTGCTCACTTAGCCCAACGCTGCCGCCGTGAGCAGCAGGCCTCTCAGCGCCCCAATTTCAGAGGAAGGCTCTGAAATACACCCCCATGGTTACTCCTAAGAAGATGAGGTAACATTGCCCGAAGACATGATGGTTTCAGGACGGTCGCCTTCCTCCTTCTGCGGGTGGGAGGAGTTGTCGGACTTACTCCGGCTGAACTCCATCCCTCCGATGATCGGCCTCTTGAATTTGGTCCCAGAATCTGCTGGGGGACATTTGCAGCAGCACAGAATCTTCATGAAAGCCCTCCGCATCTCTTTGTTTGTCAAGGTGTAGATGATGGGGTTCGTGGCTGAATTGAGCACGGCCAGTACTAAGAAATACTCTGCTTTATAGAGGATCGGGCAGGTCTTCACTTTACACCCCACATCCAGTAAGAGCAGGATGAACAAGGGAGCCCAGCAGGCAATGAAGGCACTCAGGACTATGATCACTGTCTTGAGCAAGGCTAGTGACTTTTCTGAGCTCCTAGTAGCTTTGGTAATGTTTTTCCGAAATGTCAGCCTGCGGCTCCTAGTCCTCACCATGGAGTAGATCCTGCAATAGAGGACGACAATAGATAGCAAAAGGCCAGTGAAAACGGTGGTGCAAAAGAGAATATAGTGCTTGTGGTAGAGAGGCAGCACGGTGGAACAGTTGTACAAGAGGCTGATGCAGTTCCAGCCCATGATCGGGAGTCCCCCGAGTATCACGGAGATAACCCAGCAAGCGCTGATCAGCAAGAAGGAGCGGAAGCTGTTGCTGCCATTGTGGAGTTTCATCTTCAACATGGTGATGTATCTCTCGATGGCAATGGCCAACAAACTGAACACAGAAGCTGACAAGGCAACAAACATGCTGCCTTCTCTTACAAACCACTGGGAGGGGGTGAGGCTATAGGTTTTGTGTCCAGATAGCAGGAGGTTGGCAGTGTAAGCCACACCAGCCAGCAAGTCTGAAAGAGCCAAGTTCCCAATGAAATAGTACATGGGTCTGTGAAACTTCTTGGTTTTCCAGATGGTGAGCAAGACAAAAATGTTCTCCAAGATTATAAAGCAGCAAATGATGATAAAAACCACCGACGACACTTTTATTCCACTGTCCGCATTCTCATTTAGCTTTCCCGTGTAATTATAATGCTCTTTGATGACATAGTTGACATCAGTGTTGGCGAGGTTGCTGACGACCTTCAGCGGGGCGGTGGTGCCGGAGCTCATGGTGCCTGGCTGAGTGCCGCTTCCCCAGCGGCCACTGGACGGTGACACCGAGCGCAAACCCGGTGGCTTCCCCGCAGCTCCTTGGCCCCGCAGCCTGCCCGGCACTGCCGCACGGCCTCAGAAACCACAGCCCTGAGAACAGGAGGCACAAAGCCCAGAGTTAAAAGAGGAAGGCAAACAATGTAACAAATGATAACCCAGTTAAGATAACCTGCTAGTTTAATTGTACATCAGACTCACAAATGTAATCACACAGGAATCAGTTTCATTCAGACGTTTTAGTATATTTAAAAGACGGTTAGGTGTATTCAATAGGTAAAGCTAGTCGGACAAAAAAGGGTCTGTCATGCAGAGAACTGAACAGGTAAGTCGGAGTCTGCAAGGACGGCATTACTGGACTTCTTCCAATGCAAAAGATCTCAAAGCTCCCCAGCAATAAGTTCTACTGTATCTTTTTCTTCAGTAGGAAACACACCTTGTAATACAATAGCAGAGATTTAGAAAGGGAAAGGCTTGATTTAACTGCAAGTGCATGAAAGCCCACACAGAAATTACTTGACGGGAGACCTGTATTCTCCTCCATTAATAAAGTCTGAACGTGTTTTGGAAGGGGGCAGTTATGCAATTTACTGATGCCATCTCGAACAGTGGTGAATTCACTGATGTATATATAAGCAAGAGATCATCTCAAAGCTGTAAACAGGAAAGGGGTGCCCTTGCTAAATAAAAGTAAGAACATGCTTTACAAAATCCGGAGCAGCAAAAACTTTAGAAAATCAAGAAAAACATGTAAATAAGCTAGATAGCAGGCCCATTCGTGGGTCTGAAACAAAGAATGGCAAAAAACAACCCCACAAACTTTGCATTTGAACAATTAGCATTGCAGGCTTTTGAAATGGGCATGATTAAGGAATGCAGATACGGAGGAAACTCCCTTTACGTATAAGCATTTTCTAGTGGGCATTTAAAGAGAATTAAAGACGTGAAATCACGCAAGGGAAGAAGAACAGGCAGAGTTGTTAAATTACAGCCTAAGCGGGGCAAAGCGGGAGGTGCGAGGTCAGCGGGGACGGCTCCCCGCGCTGCTCCCGGGCTCCAGCCCGCACCGCTCCCGTCCGTCCCGCACCGCTCCCCGGCGCCATCCCGCACCGCCTCCGCCGGACGCGGCAGCGCGGC